GAAAACATAACAAAAATATCAGCATTCTTAGTACAAACAGGATTAAAACCACAACTATGATTATGTTTTTAAACTTCCCATTACTTATTATTTATTTTGTTCTTAAAACTTTTCTATTAGCTACAGAACATTTTATTAACTTTACACCTAAGACTTAATTAAGCAATAACTATACATTTTATATTTACATCTGCGAGCCGAAGGTCCTGGCAGCCAATGCTCCTTTTTTCGTGGAAAAGTAATTGTATTATTGTTTCACATTTTTATAAATAAATAAATAAATATTTTTTGTTGTTGTTTTAGTTTGTAAAATATTTTAGCATGGTAAAACTGATTATTTGATAAATTTACATATTTATTTTTACAAATGATGTCGATAAGGTAACACTAACTATTTGACAGTTTGTTATTCATTTGTTATTCTTAAATAATCACATTTCAATAATAATTTAAATGTACATTAAAAGCTATTTTTGCACTATATTATACATATAAAATAAATGTGTGCAAAAGAATAAGTGATGTGTTAGTGTATATAAAATTTAAAAATATAAGTGCAAAATTAATTTTATATATAGAAAATATGTAATTAAAATATTACAAATTTTCAACTTTAAACGCGAATAACTCGAAAACTAGAAGCTTCCTGCGGATAATATTCGTGATGTGGAGAATCTCCTCTATCCGACCGTACCCATTTTATTCCCGAAATTCTGGGACGGTATACTAAAGCCGACCCGGCATCTCATCTGCAAGAACGTAGCCATGTCCGTCCAATGCATGTGTTTCGGGATCCAACTTCCGCGCAGCGATGTACTGAAGCAGGCTCAAACATGAGATATCTACTTGTCCACTAGCGAACGCAACTCTCCTGATTTCTTGTGCTCACTCTCTGCAATGCGAATAGCTCTTGAATGCGTACCTGTAAAATCAAATGTCGATTACTGAATCTTTGACTAAGTAATTTCATAGCAATTGTGTAGTTTTCGTCACGCATTGCAGTGATTGGATAGTACCCAAAGCAGCTCCTTTTAGGCATGAATTAAGATGATAGAATTTCTCCAAGTGTCCTATTGTTTAAATCTGCCAAAAAAGTTCGGCCTGTTCGTATATGCTCCTCCAAACGAAGATAGCTGCAACTGCGGCAGACGAGACTTGAGGATTCAACTTGTGTAACTCCCTCTTGAATGCTGCCTTAGCTCTAATGAAAGTCGCAGCGAATTCAATGCGAGTGCTGATCCTCTCTTCCAGTTATGACTGCGTTAGTCAAATTGAAGTTGAATACGATCGAGCTATTCTGATCTGACTGACAGCTCTACATGATCCATGAAATAAAGTTCTTCTACACCAAGTAGTGTTGAATTTAACTTAAATAACTTTAAAATTTAACTTAAATTTAACGTAAATGGAATGAATGTTACGTGGTAACTGTTTGCTCGGCAATATATAGTAATACGGTTTAAATTAAACTGTTTAACTAAATTAACAGTTCTAGTTCGTGATTTTCACACTGTATATTTTTGCAGAGCAAAATAGGAGAAAAACCACGAATAACAACACTAACAACCGCGATGAGTTAACTGTAGGATATGGTGATCTGTACACGGTACTGCGAAAGAGGCATCAAAATAAGCAATGTAACTGCACGCGGTATCACGTCGCGCAAGAATTTTTGCGCTCGAACGAATAGCGATTAAGAGCGAAATAGAACAAAAAGGCCGAATGCGTGTTGTTTTGTTCACGTTATAAAAGCGAATGTAATTTATTTAAGCAATTGCTACATCTACAGTTTAACAGGATTGCACAGTCAAAATTTACAAAAAGTAGTAAGTGATGCCACTTAATTATCAGGTGGCACTCTGAGCGCTCTGAACAAACACAAATACAGTTTCATGCATGGTTAAGTACAGACAGGCCCGTTCAAAATTTAATGGAAATAGAGTATTTTTGCATATAAAAAGGTAATGATTAAGAAAATAAGGGGTAGTTTCAAATAAGCCATAGTGAAGTATTTTAAATAAATGAGTACACATACATATGTATGCAAATTCGAAGTTATATTTTTTCTTTATCCTTTAGAACCAAAATAAGTTCATTGTACGACCATCGAAATTTTGAATTCTTTGGCTGAACAACTAGGTGATTTTTTGAAAAGCCAAAGGCCAATGTTCTAGGAGCGATTGAGGATATTTTTGAAAARAAAGCACTGACGATCAATAGCTTGCCTTTAAGCTTGACGTCCTGCATAACGTTCACATAAAATTTAAAAGTTTAAATAGAAATAACGAAAATGAACGATAGAGATTTTACAGAAAATAAATACAAATGAAATTTTGAGTTGAATGTAAAATGTGATATATTGAATAAGAAAATGTATGAATAAATATTTCACGTAAATTTGAAAGCTAATTCTATATAAATAAATTGTGAACAAAATTACAAAAGCGGTTTCAAATAGACCATAATTCAATCTATCTAAATGTACATAGGTCACGTACCCAAAACTTTCGCTTTTCGCGTTTTGTTTCATAGTTTTTTATTATTGAAATAAAAATCCTTAAAATATTTAGGCTGCTTTTAGTCAACATCGTTTTATTTTCTTCAACTTACGATTCAGTTCATTGTTTTGATAGCCTTCAAAGGGCTCATGTGGTCAAACACCCATTCAAAGTATGCCAAGGAAAACAAGTAAAGCCTACCAGCATTGCGTCAAGACTTTTACCGCGGAATTAACTTCTGAAGTAATGTTTTAATAAAAAATTAAAATTATAGAATTTGGAATGCCGAAAAATACAAAATATACCACGCTATGTTCGCCGGTTCGATGCTGTGTTATAATTTTAATATCTTGTATCAATTTTTTTTAATAGAACAATCTCTTTATTTAACAATAAATAACACATTTTAAAGCGGAAGCAAAGTTAAGTTACATGGTTTAGTTAAATAAATTCTGCAAAATAGTATTCGTCAAATTAGTCCATTTTTCGTTTTAATATATAATTCTTTTATTGCAATTCCTTGTTTACGACCTGAAACTCTTTGAAAAAAGAATTGGAGCTGTGAGACTGACTTGAAATGGACATAGAAGTTTTTGAAATCTTTTTGGACAGATCTTCTGGTTCGCTTTCATAGTAGCTCTGAATATTGTTTTGTGTTTCGGAAATGCACTCTGTCATGTCTGTGTGTCCATGCACATAAACTGGGTTTGGTTGTAGTGTAGCAGCAATGGCTGATAAGGTCAAAAAATTCAAACTTGTGTTGAAAACTTTATACCACTGAAGTAATCTCGATTCATTGTTGCACTGTTTACTATTATTCTGATCAACAATGTTTTTATCATTATTTATGCCGTCTCTATTGGTAATACCTAACATATTGCAATCGTTCCATTCAGTATTGTGAGTACTTGCTTTAATAGTTTCAGTATTAGTACTTTCTGAAAGAATGTTGGACCACTTGTTGTATGTAATTAAATCATTTTTTTCATTAAAAGGATCTGTAAGAACTGATTTGTCAATATTTTTATTAATAGGATGTTGGTGTTTTGGTTTGCTACGTTCAAAACTAGAACTAACTACACTAGATTTCGCTGACATAAAACTTGAATTTAACTTTGAATAATAATTCAAATTGTAGGGACTAAAATGATATTCTTTGTAATTCGTTGATGTACTAATGGATGATAAAGTTTGGCCTATTGAACACAAGCCAGGTGAAATTTGATTGCCTTTAATCACCAACTTTTGCTTCATCATTTCGTTCGAATCTGGCAAAGACTTATTCCTTAGAAAATCGCTTAAGGTTTCTTCAAGTAACGCGTTTTCGTAGTTGTTATAGTTGACATCTAGGTGGATACTATTCAAATTGGACATTTCATTGAATTCGATCAAATTCTCAGTATTAATGACCGAGTTAAAAGAATCCCTTCCATCTAATTTATATATTTTCGCAGCTGGTTGAAAATTGTCTAGTTTGTAAATCGGAATTAGCTCGATTTCATTTTTTTCATTCATCTGGCTATACATAAAACGAAGCTTATGTTCATTTTTACACCAGCCTCGAAGGGTTGACTCTGGCACTCCAATATCCCTTGAAACAGAAGCTTTGGTCTCCCCTTGATGAATACGTTGAATAGCCCGAATTTTGTCGTTAGGTGTTAGATTGCGCAATGGCCGCTTACCACGTGATCTCATGCGAATATTTAATTGTTGAAACACAGGTAGTTCCATAATCGCACTCGATGTTGCGCTCAGATAAGTCTTAAAATATAACGATTAAGAAATTAGATCAGTATTAGAAAAGAACACATAATCCTCCAGAAGCACGAGCTTGGATGATATCGAAAGATAAGATTATATTTCAATATTTTTCAGTAGTATCAGTAGTAGCAGAATAGCAGAAATACGGACTTTAAAAATCAAAAACAAAAAGTCTATGTGCTTCCGCGTTTAGAATTTTCCCAAAAGTGACAAACAATGCTTGTATTTCGATGATAATAATTTGACGTTTACGAAAATATTTCTTTGTATTTTTCCTTCACGATTTCGCGCAAAAAGCACAGTGGTTGTTGCAGTAGATGTGAGCTTAAACTTAAAAGTTATGGACACTACACGCGTTTTTGGCGCTATTTGTACTACACCACCTAGTAAAGCATAAATACATTTGTAGTTTGCTTCATTTCTGCTACTATGTATCCATTTTAAACACATATTTTTAGAAGAGGATTTCAAGTTACCACTTTTTCATAGCAGCATAATTAAAATATTATAATATAAAGGGATCTATATCCACAAACAATAAAATTCTAAAATTATTTATAAAAAAAAAAAACCATGTTTTTACTTGAAGCTTTTACAAATAAACATTTTTATACGAAATTTGGCATATTGCTTATGCTGGGGATTAAAATTTGTGTAATCTTGCAACATTTTGCTAGAGAAAATAATAGTTTTTTTCATCTAACGGTTGCATGTATCAGCTAAAACTAATGAAGATGTACTTGGCCCCATCCTCTAATAAGTTTAATGCACATCTCACAAATCACTTAGAATAAAATGTATCTTCACTAAAATAAAAACTTTAACACCAAAACATATGGATGCAGTAGGACTGCAACCACGCTTACTTATAGCATAATTTTAGATCCCACTTTTTAGTATACAAATCAAGCACCAATGACTATAACGGAAAAAAGCCAAATAACCAAAATTGAGGAGTATGAATGAACTATAGACACAAAAATTGGCTGAATTAGGTCTTTCTTACWCCTAATATAATTCATACACCTAATATAAATATTTTCGAACTTCGGAGTGACTTTATGCCCTTCCTTACTTATTATTTTTTAGTTTGGCATCTTGTACCTGGGATTAAAATTTAATTTGTGTGGAATTAAACTATTTTCTTTTTAATCACGAATTTGGAAGTTTAGTTCAACTGTTCACAAGTAAGGACAAGCTAATTTCGGGTGTAAACGACCACTAAAATAATTCGCAACTCTCAGTTTCATTTTTTATAAAGTATTTTATAAAATTACAATATGAAACATGTAGAACAAAGCGTTTAACAATTTGATATGGTTCCAAAACTGTTTTAATTTTCGGAAAAATCCGAATCTCTTCAATTAAATATCTTACAAGCTCCATAATAGGAACAACCTTATGCTTATTTCAAAGCCCAAAAAACTCTAATCAACATAGTTGGGGCGTTCACAACCTGTCTTAAAGCATCGTAAAGTCGTAAAATTTTAAATTTTTACACTTGTTTAAATAAAAATTAGGGTTTTCATATGTCTCTTATAGTTATAAGTTATAACGATTCGAAAACATAGTATTGAGAATTTTAAATGTGTAAACTAATTTTTGTATGTAATCCAACAACAAATTTTTTTTAAAMAAGTTTAAAAATTTAAAATTTTACGACTTTACAATTTAAGACAGGTTGTGAATACCCCAAGTTTTTTAACGCTAGTCGCTATGCAACGATGCTTGATGAAAATACTTTGAGTTTAATTCGTTCTGCGTCAATTATTTCTAGAATGTCGACGTARATGCAATTGTTTAAATTGACAGCGTTTTAAGGTGGCCAAAATAATATTGTTAAATGGGGTTAAAAGTAATGTATCGAAATAAATTTGAGTTTTAATGTATATATTAATGATAAATAAATAAAAACTAATCTTGAGCTTGTTATTCGAAAATGATAGGAAGAAAATTAAAATATTAGCCACGAAAAGTATTGTAATCCTGTTGAGCAGCATAAGGGAAAAATATTCAAAAAAGAGAAAAGTACGGAGGCTGCTACTCGTATCAGGGAATAGTCAAAATTGTCAACTACTCCAAAAACATAGCTAATACTTTTCATGATGTGAATACTCCTGAAACTAAGGGTACTAGATTCAAAAACTTAACCCGTTTCAACTAAATGTTATGCTATGCTTTTCAAACTTCTTATAACTTAAAAATGGAATTACATTTTTTTTTAATCCTACATTGTGGGAACAACATTCTGACAATATTTAAACGCACCCTCATACTAAAATCAAAAGTATTGACTTTCACGACACCTAACATAATGCCTTCCGTCAAATTCAATAAGGGTATATTGGCTTCATCCGCCAAAAACACGTTCCATGAATTTTGGCGAACCAAAAGCGAACTGCCAAATTTAGGTCTTTCCTGTATATTGAACTTAAACTAGCTCATTGCTTTTAAATTTACGTCACTTCAAAAGATGCCTGCTATACGTTGGTTGCCCTTTTTAATTCGGGATTAGAGAAAAAAAAGTGTACTCATCGGAAATCGCCTATTGTTATTCGAAATAGTGTCTATTAAGGTCTAGGAGTATATACATTTGCATTCGTTTGAACAAAGATGATATTCGGTTGGAAGTCAGGACTACATGTATATATATTTTGAGTACTCAAAAATGCAGTTGTTTCAGTCGATGTGTGAGGAGCATTGTCGTTGTCAAGAGTGATCAATCTGCGGCGGTTAGTTTACTTGATTTGAAAGACAACTGAAGTTGCAGCATTGTTGTACAATTTAGACTTTAAAATCGTCGAGTTCAGCGTCTAGACTTCTGCAAACGTGCCCGTGGTGGCTATGTAAAAGAAATCTAGTACCGTATATAACGGCATCAAATGTACTTTTGCAGGAATAATAATAAAAGAATTTTATTTTAACATCAATTTCATTTATACAAACAAAAAAAAAAATATTTTATTAATTGCTAGCTAAATATTTTAAAACTTAGTTGTAATCATTTGAATAAAAATGGCATAGATATCAGTTGGAATCATAGAGTTATGCGCTATTACAAAACTTCTCTTTTCTATTTATCAGTTAAGATTGTAGCTGCATTCAAATTTTGACACAACCTTTTCACCGCCAACAGCAACAGCAAGAGTATAATATTTTTTGCGACACCAAAATATGTCATTTGAAATGTCGAATTATATTGTGGAAACTTATGCAAAAACATCTGCGTTTGGGATGCCTCAAATATTAATATATACTATACAAAGATTCGGGTGGAGTTTCTATTGCTAGCAATCTCACTTTGCCATTTGCACAACACATCCCCGGCGTTTCACTTTGAAAATTAGCCGGATCACAATGCGGCAAATTGCAGCCACCATTCCAATGTATGAGTACATACTGTAATCAATCTGATTGTTGTAWTTAAAAGCAACTGTCAAGAAAGTATTGGGAATTCTTGATTTCCCTCTTTCATCTTCTGCTAATTTGGAAGACAAGTAAATTTTTTTTGCTAGGTTTGTACAATTGTCCTTAATTATGATGCAAAAAATTAACGAAATCTGTCAACCAGGGTATTTACACCAGCCGTTTATGTCAGTCGACTCCTTAGTGTTTGGTGAATTTTAATATCAATGTATTTGTGTTAAAAATTTGGTCATACACTCAACAAATACCATTGAGCAAGCACCGTATTCACCGGATATGACCCCCTGTTACTTTTACCTTTCTTCACACTGAAATATCCACTTCGGTGAACATGACGCGACTCAATTGACATGAATATAAATTCGCCGCGAGAGCTGAAGGTCATCCCGGAAAGTGCCTATAAGAAGTCTTTTGACAATTGGAAGAAACGTTGGCACATGTGTATCGCTTCAAATGATGTTACTTTGAAGGCGATAAAATAAATTTTGATGATGATTGAAACATTTTCGTTTTATTTATAAATTCCCGATACTTTCTTGACGGGGTCTATGTATGTATATTATATTGAATTCTGGGTAAATGAGCTTGTGACCCCCCTCTTAATATAACACGCCTACACCATACACATACACACCATACTCAACACATCTAAACCATATTCATCATCCACACCTCACACTCAACACACCTGCATCATATACACCACACACACGAGGACACAATGGACGAAAGGGACTGACGGACGGCGTCAAACCTCTTTTGTTCTCTATTCGCGCGCACTTACGCATCATTTAAAACCATTTTTCATACGCTCTAATTAGTAAACAAGGTGAGTGCAGGTAATATTTTCAATAATAAGCATATCGAAGCTTTTTACATGGTCCTTCGAGCCGTACCGGACGGTACTATTGATAACATAACTAAATATAATAAAATTTTAATAAT